TTGTAAAACGTTTTAATTTTGTTTATTCAATAAAAACTCATTCATTTAAATCAAATACGACTGCATTTATTCAATCATCAAAATACTAATAAAAGTGTTTATAAAATAAACTTAAATACCAAACACTCTTACACTAATAATATAACTTTAAAAATAAAAAAAATAATAATTATAATAATTTTTAAAAACTGAACTTTAAAAAATTAAATTTGCAATCTTAAATAAAATAATTGTAATTTTTAAATTACAATTTACTTACAAAATCGTGTTTTGTTTTTAATTTGTATGACTAAATATCAGATTTATTTTAAAAACATAGAAATAATTCAAATTTCAATTCAAACATTCAGACAATCAGTTTAATTCATACGAAATACGAGCGCTTTGTCGCCGATTATAGTAGTCGTAGACAACGATGGGAACGGCTTTAGTGTTGACCACCCGATGGGTCCGATGGCCACAGACTGTCAGAAAGATCTTCGATCGGGTTATCTGTCAAATGTATACAAATTGTCACAAAATCCTATCATTTCTAGCATTTAATGACTAACTCTATCGAAATATATGACAACATTCGTGTCTCCCTTTGTTGTGTCAACGCGTTTAATGTCTGGAGAGCCGGGCAGTGACTCCGTGTCCGCCACATAGCCTGAAGGGAGTTCCACTTCCATGACCGCCATATTTGACTCCTTTCCCTCTTGATAGCTAAACATTAAGTAAAAAATAAACTAAATTTAAGTCCAAAAATCATAACAAAAACAATGGACACTAAACTGTGTGCAGACATTAAGCCGAAGATAACTCTGCGTCGAAGTCTTGTCGACGACAGCGCTCACGAAGAATGCCGGCTCTTCGCCATCGACGGCCAGATTGTACTCATAGGACACCTGTACTACAGCCGACCCCTGACCCCGAGCTTCCACTTCCACATCACTACTGGCCCTAAGGGGCAGATCCACGCGCTGTAAGACCGCGATATTTGTGCCATCGATTCGCATGTCTTGCGACTCGTGTTTGTCTTCACAAAAGTATTTGAATTTAATATCCA